ACACTCGTTCTTATAGTAAGATTCAAAAGAAATACTCTGGGAACGTGCAGTGTCTGGATAAACAATTTATCTTGGTGGCACAGCTCTAATCACTGCCCTCTCACCCTGTACACACAGGTTGTAATCCCAATGGGAGGGTAGATAGCATGTATTTACATGTGTTCCTTTGTTAGTATTTTGTCAGCTACTTAAGGCAGCTCTGTTCTGTTGCAGTGGGCTTTTTGGTCAGTCCCATTCTCTGAAAAGGATTCAGTCACCACCTGCCTGTATTTTCTGTATGTTGAAGCTTAATTTTGTTAATTATTATTTATTCATACGTGGCGAGGAAAATAGTATGAGACACTTCTGAATGAAGGCAGAAACACCTTTTTTAAAATTTAAATTGTAGGCATGTCTTATTTTCTACTCAGTGCATCTCTTTAGCATAGCTGTTAGCAAACAATAGATAATTTCCTTTCATTGCTTATTATGTTAATATTATGATAATATATTTTAAAACATCTAGTTGTTTAGTATACTTCAAATTCGTTCTTAGAAAAAGAAGGCAGCAGCCACTATCGTGCTCTTTCTCCCTCGGTTCTAGTTGCATTTACAGTATGGAGGAATTTGTAATGACAGTTGTCCCAAATCAGAGGTTCGTAGAGTTGATTTTGCTTGAAACATAGAGAATTTTCATTATTGCATAGGCCAGCGTTCACCGTTAGTAACCGTTCTATGTGGCGCTGAATCATGTAACACAAAATCCCGGATTCAGTACGGCTTTGCTTTATAAAACTGAAAAATTAGTAGCCAAAACTTGATGTATTTGTTTGTTTGTTTGTCTTTAAATTCGGCTAAAGACGTTGGATATTTTACATACAGTGTCATTTTCAAAACATTTTTCTTTTCTCAAGTGACCGTTTAGTGGAGCATTGCCTGCATAGCAAGGTGTATTTAACTTTGTTTGCATTTAGGCTTTCATTGTTGTGTTGGGACTGTAGATGTAATTTTGGGATGGAGTTCTATGAAATCAATTAATGATGCAGAAGCCAACTGTTTCAGCAACAAAAGTCATGGGAGCGAGGAAACAGGGTAGCAAGAAGAAAGAAGTTAACTATCAAATAAGTAATGTGGGGTAGGTATTTTTGCGCCTAAATTAGGGATCATTTATTGCATGTGCCACTTAGGTCTTTGTTTCCAAATTTTCTCCAGAAAGACAAATGCTAGCCTTGTTCCCCAATGGGGATATTACCTGTTTATTCAACATTTTTGTTACGTATAGTAAGTTTTACGAGCAGCGTAAGGTTTGAGATCGGTGTGCTTGCTGCTGGAATGCTTGTGCTTGTAAACGCTGCGGTTCTTGCCCGTTCCTCCC